AACCCTACTAGTTTCGATCCATGATCTGGGACTAACAAACATACAAAACAAAAATCAGACTATAAATATACATTCTCTTATGCCATATGGCTAACAATGAAGGAGACTTTGAAAATAATATATATCTAGCTTTACATGACTCATCAATTAAAAAGAGTCCAAACTTAATTTATCTTAGAACTACCATAGAGTCTAAACTTGAAATGAAACTATTTACATTTCTTCCTTATTGCGCTGTACTATATACAGCTTCAATGTCGGCGTCAAATCAGTGGTACCCCCGATGATAGTACATCAGCCGGTCACTTGCATCGTAAAGGATTCCTCCATTTCGCAGCTTCAGTAAAGCTGCCGGGACAGGTTTTTCCTTCTAAGAGTGCAGTGAAGTTCCTCATTACATTCTAGACGTTGTTCCACTATCCCATTTTTCATAAACTGGCTAATTCCCAGATGTCATGCAGACATCGATTGCATTATATATGTTTCTGTTGAGTGAATGGCTATAAATTCGATTTATATTTAGTGTTGACCTCATTATCATGCATGATTCTAATAAATTTCTCTCCCACATTCTAATCTTTTCCATTTTGGCTGATGATATGTGTGCGCATGTAGCAATAGAGTAGGTAATGATGAGTCGTATCACTTGCTTGTATATTAGCAACATTACCTTCGAAGAAAGGTATCGTATCCGAAAGAGCCTTTGGTATGCGAAGTTTATCTTTTTAGTAACTTTACCTTGGTAGAAAGTCCTCCTTGCACCCGAAAGAGTCTTTGGTAGGCGAAATTCATCTTTTTGTCACATAATACACATGACAGCTAAAGTCGAATCTATCATTCAGGATGATTCTAAAGTACTTTATACTGTCTGTCGAACTTTTATAATTGGAATGTATTTTCGAAGCTTTTCGCAGTAGCCTTGGGTTTTCCAATATCAAGTTTGAGTCCCCATTTGTTGAAGTATTTTCATGTACACATTCGGGCTTCTTTCTATAGTACTTCCAAAGCGACCATTCAATGTCTGTAACACAACATCAGCGTAACTCATCAACAATCAGTTGATCATAGTATGTTACATACGAATAGGTTGAGCAGAACCGGCCCCAGCAGTGATTCCTGAAGCACCCCTACTTTGACCTATTGCTGTTCAGATATCATAATCTCTACGAAAAAATCGAGCCTTGAGAAAACGATTGCATTTTATAAAAAATATGTGCTGTCATACTATTTCAAAGGATTTGGCAATGTCCAAGCCAATTCCAATGGTCTCTCCTTCAGTTTAAAACCTTCGGTGACATCCAGGACACCACACGACAAATTCATGTTAATATCCTCCACCACATAAGGTCTTTCCGAAATATTCAGCGTAGACGACCACATAATAATCAAATCAGATCAGATCCGACAATTTGAAGACGATTTAAAAATACTCTTCTATCTTGCTGACAGGTGCACGTGATAACTAGGGGAGTAAATTTGGATCAAATTTCGAAATTTATTCCAAACATAATTCGAACGGAGTATCCAAATCTAAATAATGTCCAAAGATGGTATTTATCGGCCCACGTCTTTTGATATCTACTCCACAACGGGTCGAGATTGTAAAATAGTTGTTGTGCCAGACTACTATCGGCAATATGGGTCCATCATATCTGGTATTTCTACCTCAACTGCAAGTGTAGAATCACTTGAAATAACTCAAAAGTCCTATTTTGATAAATTTAAATAACTTTCAACTTTGTCGTGAGATATTTTTTTAATCAAAATTAATTAATTTCAATAATTTCTCTTTCATCGTATAAAATCAATTCTTCACATCAATAAAAAAAAATGTTGTAAAGTTTATCTACTTTCGCATCTGAATTTAAAAAAATCGAAAATAAAATACTTGTTTATTTTCAAAACAACAGAAAGTATGTTAATGGTCAATAATCAAAATAAGATTGAATTTTTTACTAGCACTAAAAACGTGATTTTTTCGCAAATAAAAACGAAAAAACAATTCGATAATAAAAACAAAAAACATTGTAAATAATTTTTTTCGAAGATAAACTCTGAGGAAATAAATTATCTGTAGATTGTTCAAAAAAAGTGCAATGGTGTTTTGGTATTATTTTTTTTTATTATTAAACATTAAAAATTCATTTAGTTTGTTTATTTTTGTGTTTTAATATTTTTCGATGTTGTTTTGAATTGATTGCAGATAGAGGTAGAAAGAGGAAGAGATATAAAACAGTTGTTTTAGAAATATTTCAATGATTTTTTTCGTTAGAATAAACAATCGATTCGAAATTCATACTTTCATTGCAATGATGATTCAATTGATTTCTATGTTTTATAAACATCGCTGGCGAAAAAAATATTCTCACATTGAAATTCTTTTTCGAAATTATTGAAGAAAATAATCTATGTATTTTTAACTTATAAACATTAGCTGTATAACAAATGGAGAGGCTCTGTAAAGATGTAAACACCTGTTACTACTCTAAAGTAAAACTAAAAAAAATTATAATTTCCAAATTTTGGTGATATTTATAAAATTTTATTACAAAGACATATTTATATATATATGGGACCTCTCTAAGTATTATTCTAAAATTGTAAACAAGTTGTTAATTTGATATGAAGCTAATTTAGTGCCCTATTTGATCCAAATTTTGTACATCGTAATGAGCTAGTGTCCTAGATATTTAACGGATTTTTTTAAGTATAATAAACAATAAACAGAAACACTAAGGAATAAAAATTAGAATTTCCAAATTTTGGTGATATTTATGAAATGTTATTTACGAGGACAGATTATCATTATGGCTCCTCTTTATGTATAATTCAAAAATGTTAATTTTTTTCAAGGGTTTCAAACCCTTTATACCCCTTTTATTTATTTTTTTACTACTCTCTAAAATAAAAATTAAAATTTCCAAATTTTGGTGATATTTTTGAAATTTTATTGAGAGGACAGTTGAATACTTATGGTACCTATATATAATTCAAAAAAGTTCTAATTTTTTTGAAAGGATTTTTATGTCCACCTCATTACGTGTGAAAACATTTTCCCACACTGGAAATATTTTCGAAATTATTTAAGAAAATATTCACTCTATTGCCAGCGAATGGAGTGATCATGTAAACACCTGTTACTTTACTACAGTAATACTATAGAATATAAATTAGAATTTCCAAATGTTGGTGATTTTTAGGAAATTTTATTAAGAGGACAGGTTAATATTTATTGGACCTCTTTATGTTTATTTCAAAAAATTCTAATTTTTTGCATAGATTTTTGTGCCAAGCTCAAGGTGAAGGTTATTAATTATGGAACCTCATTAGACAAATATTAGAATTTCCAAATTTTGGTGATATTTTGCAAATTTTATTACGAGAACAGATACTCATTACCTCTCTATGTATAACTCAAAAAAGTTCTAATTTTTTTAAAGGAATTTTATGTCCACCTCAAGGTTTAGTTTATTAATTATGGATCTCTTTGTGTATAATTCAAAAAGTCTTAATTTTTAAGGGATTTTTAACTACTCTAAAGTATAACTATAAAATAAAAATTAGAGTTTCCAAATTTTGGTGATATTTTTGAAATTTTCATTACGAGGACAGATAATCTTTATGGTACCTCTGTATGTATAATTAAAAAAAAGTATTGATTTTAAAGGGATATTTATGTCCACCTCAATACGGGTAAAAAAAATATTCTCACACTGGAAATATTTTCGAAATTATTGAAGTAAATATTCGTGGTAAACAGCTGAATTAGAATTTCCAGATTTTGGTGATATTTATAAAAATTATATTACAAGGACAGATAATAATTATGTACCTCTCTATGTATAATTCAAAATAGTTCCAATTTCTTGAAAGGATTTATATGTCCACCTCATGTTGGAGGATATAAAAAGTTCGTCCCGACCGAACTGAACGACGTTCTACTTTTTTGAATCTAAGCCTAAAGCCTTTTTAAATATATGTGTTAATCCACGCGTTACGTCTAACTGGAAAAAATATTTTATGCCTTAATAAGTCCCTTTATATTTAATTTAAAAATACCCTTTCAATTCTCAAATTCTAAATATTTAAATTTTATTTTTTCTTTCCTTTTCAGGTTAATCCCCTTTTACAAAATAAAATAGCATGCGACATTTTCCTGTGGTTTTATTTTGGGAAAATCTGAAAATAGAAACAACAACCACAAAAACCATGAGTTCAACACACAACCTGCAGGTTACAAAAATAGAAATGTCTCGAAATTAAAAATAACGAAAAAAAAACAAAAGCAAGGAAAGAAAACGGAATAAAAAACGACGTGAATCTCAAGAACTTTCACCCTTGTTGTTTTTTCCTCGTAATGCTGTCGTATATTGGGTAGTGTAAAGGAAAGGAGGAGGAAAAACAGTAAAAGAAGAAAAGGAAAAAATCCCTCATAGAAACACATTACGACAAGAGAGCTGCAGCATCACATTGAGAAAAAAAGGAAACCATACAACCACCTGGCCAGCATCATCAAATATAGCCACCCAACCACCCACAAAGTTACTATTCACTACGAAATACAACTGTTTTGCCACAGAAAGCTATCATTTCGGTGTGAGTGAGTGTGACAAAGAGAGAGAGAGAATCCTGTAACTGCATTACAAATGACAAAATCCAATATAACAGCATCCCTCTCCATGGTAGATAACCTATGAGAAGAGACATAGGGGAGAGAGAGTGCATGTCTATTGCAAAACATTGTGGAGAGAGTAGAATTTCCATAGAAAATCCTTGGGTTTGTGTGATAAAAACCAAAGAGAGATAAAGAGAGAGCTTAATTAAATTACATAAAAAACAACAACAATTGAAGTGGTGAATTTCAAATTATCAGAGAGCAAAAGGAGAACAAATCAACATCCTTGTTTTGGATTACATATTACACATTATTTTCTACATCGCTAACGAAAAGGAAATCAAAATTACTTGAGAAAAATCAGACCGACAGACAGAGCACAAATATGGGACGCCGTACTTATTTTAATCGTGCTACTGCCATCACCTACCCGAGTAGGGTTGAGGGTTGGTTGGATGTTTGTGGTGAGTATTTTTTTCTTATTTTATTTTGCTTTATTTTTTACTGTGGAAATTTTGTGTAAGCATCCTCAGATAAAAAGGAATGTTAACTTCTTCACTTTCGAAAACATGGTGGTGATTTATCCCAAATCACCTCTTAAATATTTATAGGGGAAGAGTGTCTCCCTATTAAGAGGGTCTCAGGTTACATTATTTGTTTAAAAAGAAATAACATAAAAATCCGATTTCAATCAATTTGCAGTTGATTGCTCTTCAGACAGACAATAGATCTCTTCTCTCTTATGGTCTTAACAAGTGGTTTAAGAAGATTTCTTGGAGGTTTTTATTTTTTATTGGTGGCAATTAGGTTAGAGCGCCACCATCCCACTTCTTCGATATCTCCTCAAGCATTTGATGTCATTGCCTTGGTGTTTGTGCTAATAAATGATGCTAAAATTTAAATATTGTTTTTGTTTTATTTATTGTTTAGACAATTTATTTATTGCAGTTGCTTTGCTTTTAGCAAAGATGTTAGGAACGGGTTTTTGTTTTTTATTATTATTTAAAATTAAATTTTATTGTCCAGTCTCCATTAATTTTTTCCTAAACAAGTCCATAAAGTGATTTATTTAAGAAAACAAAAAATAAATAATTTTTAAAACGTGTGCGTGGGTGCAATGAGGAGACCTCAATGGGGTAGAGAAAAAAACTATTATTTGGGATCGTTTATTTATTTGAAAATAAAAAATTATAAATAAAAACTAAATAATTAAAATAACAAAAATTTAATATTAACATAAAAAAAATATTCTTTAATAAAATCAAAAAAAAAAAAAAAAATAATAATAATAAACAATTCTCAATCATGATCGTTCTAAAAAAATATTTTTTTATAATAGTAAATTAAAAAAATTAAAATATTAAATAATAAATTAAATAAAACATCAAACAAAAATAAATAAAAAATGTTAAAAAATTTAATAAAAAAAATTGTTTTAATAAAAAAGTAAATTTACAAAAATAGAAATGTTTTCGGAAATGTTTCCGGAAATGATATTTTTTAATCTAGAAATGTTGTTTTAAGGGAGAAAAAGGACATTTTTAAAAGCCAGATTTTTTGTTTTATGAAAAAATATTTTTTTCAAAAATTCGGAATTTTTATTTTGTGACAAAAAAATATTTTTTTTAAACTCCGAAATTTTTGTTTAATAAAACTAAGCTAACCTTTGGTTACTTCAAAACTAAATTTTGTTCAAAAAAATCTAGTAACCAAAGGGTACTTCAAAAAAAATTTGTTAAAAATTACAATAACCCAACGGTACTTCAAAAAGCATTTCTTTAAAAAATTCCTCGCCCTTTTTCCAAAAGATTGAATTTTTATTTTGAGAACAAAAAATATTTTTTTAACGCCCAAATTGTTGTTTTATAAAAATAAATTAACTTTTGGTTACTTCAAAAAAAAAAAAAAAAATTGTTAAAAAATCCAATAACCAAAGGTTACTTCAATAAGTATTTCTTTAAAAAATTCCTAACCTTTCGGTTACATAAAAACAATTTAATTAAATTACAATTTTTTGAATAAAAAAATAAATTTAATAACATTAAAAATATAATAAATATGTTTTTTAATATATCCCTTAATTTATAAAGGTTCCGCAAATAATATATGAAGGGGAAAAATACTTTTTTTAAAAGCCAGAATTTTTATTTTATAAAAAATATTTTTTCGAAATTTTAATTTTGTAAAAAAAAAAATATTTTCTTAAAAAACTTTTTGTTTAATAAAAATAAAATGACCTTTGGTTATTTCAAAAAAATTTTGTTAAAAAATCCAGTGAAAAAAAATATTTTCTTAAAAACTTCAAAATTTTTGTTTAATAAAAATAAAATGACCTTCGGTTATTTCAAAAAAAAATTTTGTTAAAAAATCCAGTAACCAAAGGTTACTTCAAAAAGTATTCCTTTAAAAAATTCCTCGTCCTTCGGTTACATCAAACATTTTTTACTGCAGAAAATATTTTTTTTTAATATTTGGTTACTACAATTTTTTTTTTAAATCCACAACCTTTGGTTACTTAGAAAAAATATTTTTTTAAAAACTCCACGCCCTTTGATTACTTATAAATGTATTTTTTAAATCCAGGCACTTTGGTTCCCTCAGAAAATTTAATTAACATTTTAAAATATTTTTTTAAATCAACGCATTGATAATAGTTAACAAGCGGTTTAAAAAGCCACGCCTTCAAAAAAAAAATTTTTAATCCACGTCTTCCTAGCAGTTTAAAAAACATTTCTTTAAAAATCTACACCTTGATAACAGATCAAAAAATTTTTTTAAGCCAAGCCTTCATAACAGTTAAAAAATATTTTGTGTAAAAAATTCAACAAGTTCATAACAGTTTAACTTTTTTTAAATACACATCCTGGTAAGAGTTTCAAAAATATTTTTTAAAAAATCCCCTCCAGAAAATATTTTTTTTTAAATCCACGCCTTGACAACAGTTCAAAATATATTTTTATAAACTCTACGCCCTGATAACAAATCAAAAAATATATAATTTTTAACAATGCCTTTAAAAGAGGCAATTTTTTTTTACAGGAATCCAAACATCTTACTATATGTTAGAAATATTTTCTAAATTAGCTAAACCTCGAAGTTGCTTCAGTTTTTTTTTTTATTCGGATAAAAATATTGAAATTCCATGTCTGACTAAAAAACTATTTTCTAAAAAATCCAAACCTTATCATTGCATTATAATAAATATTCTTAAAAAAATCCAAAAACACATTTATAAGAAAAATGTATATTGAAGTAATTTCAGAGCTATTGTTTTATATAATGACATTATACTATATCCCAGGTCTATTATGGACCCACAGTCTTTGATAAATTTGTAATAATATGTTTGGTTCTTTGATTATGAAAATATATGGTGATATTGTGCACTTACTTTAATATAAATTTCCTGTTATTTTGTCATCCATCTGAAATATAGAATACCAAAGAATATATTTTGAGAGATAATTAGGTTACCGAAATTTATAAGTGGATAGAAATATTCCAAAGTCATTTAATCGTTTGCCGATACAGTAGATATCGGATATAAGCACATCCCATATAAGAAAGATTATCAAAAACACCGAGCCTTTTTACACTTCCTCAGTATAAATATTGCTTCATATAAGAAAAACGCGAATAACACTGATATAAAAAATATTTGTCAAACACCAAAGCTGACAAAGGTATTTGAAAACGTTTCATATAAGAAAATATGTAAAATTAGTGGCCAATTTATTAACATTGAAAATGAAAGGAATGAATATTAATGAATATTATTAGGTTGGGGGGAAATCCATTATTTTTATATGAACTATAGGATTTTATTTAACATGCTTCGGAATGTCCGATTTGGGCCCAAAATACACCGATTTGTTGACAGTTTTAAGTTAACTTCATAATGCCGTCTCTCATAGAAATCTTGCTCTCTATTTGCAAAAATCTCTAGTAGTATGTACCCTTATAAGAAACAACTTTCTTATATCCGATAATTCCACATAAGAAAAAAACGCATATAAGAATGAAATATCCGGCATTTTTTTAATTTCTTGTATCCAATATCTACTGTATATGATTAAAAACATATTATTCCAAAGGTTATATGGTCATTCATTAAAAAAAATATATGGTGATATTGTACACATTACTTTTATAAACTTTTTGGTCCTTCGATCACAGAAATATGTTGCATTTTAATTTCTGTATGAATAATTTAAAAAGAAAAATCTTTCATTTTTCCTGATTATTCCCTAACTATATTTTAAATTAAAAATTGTTTGACATTTGATGGGTCATATGTTGACTTATAATGGCATTATAACGAACAAATACCCTCGAAAAGACTTTATGAGAACCGTCAAACCCAACCGCCAACCGTTATAACTTGATTAACATAATCATAGAAAATTTTATGCACGTCTTCGTAATTTTGTTGTTGTTTTATTTTTTCATAAACTCCGTTCTTAAATATTTCTTATACAATGAATGTAGTAAGACTCTCAAGTCACAAATTCATTCATATCAATGTATGTATGTACTGTAGAATATGTCGGAACATAATTCTACGGCATACATATTTAGACACGCACAATTTCTAGCAACAAATATATTATGGTTATAAAGGGCTACAGATATGTATGTACTCATACATCAGTACATACCCAGTTAATATGGCGTGTCAAGAGATATATGTGGATAATATTTTCATAAATATAACTACGAATGCCATTTTTGAGTTCATTCATTTCAATCCAATTTTGTACGAACAGACGTCATTGCAATGCGCCCCTCCCCACCTTCACACACTTCCTTATGGTTGCCTTAGATGTCGTGGCAAACAAAAAGAAAGGGAGGTTATTTATCCACCCACCCACTTGCATAGAGATTTTTCTTTTGGGTTCGTTTTTTCTCAGTGAAATGCGGAAATGTAAGTAGTTCTTTGAATGAATACACATGCATGCGGACAGACAAGCATAAATACATAATTAAATTTGTCAGAATTTTAAATTAAATTTTGTGGTTAAAATGTTGGAAAATATAATATCTGTGTGTGTACGTTTCCCATGAACCTTTCTTTGCCAAGATCAAAGTCAAAGGTTTTGGAACTGTTAGCCAGAGTTAGAATTACAAATAATGCTTGCATTTTGTCAAAGGCAACCATAATAAAAAACGCTCCAATCCACTTTGAACTGCCAAGATCAAAATGGTCCTTCAATATGATTCAGCAACAATTTTATATTGCTGAATCATGAGTAATGGATAGATATGACATCTATGATGTAATGAAGGGTATATGTAGAATTTTCGTTATTGAATCAAAAGGCATTACAGTTCTATTTTCTTGTTTGGAAAAAAAACCAAATGTCTCGTAGAAATCATATTAATGTCTTTGAAATTAAAAAAGTTGATGAACCCTGGCTCCCAACACAAAATTTTAGGTAACTGACGGATAATCAAGGAATGGGTA